GAAATGAACAAATCTAAGAGAGGTATGCCCAAGGTACAAATACACCAAGTATCAGAGCAATAAAAATTGTCGTTTTCAAGAAGATGTCGAAAAAGTAAAAAGTTAACACGGACGACAAACGTCAACGGACAATCACTCATATGATAAGCTTGCTCGACAAAGTCGACAGCAGAGCTAAAAATTAAAATAAAATTCTATTAGAATAGACTTGATGCATGACCCCTAAAGGTCAGACATCCTGGTACTTTCTTGGGCTTACTGTCCTATAACAGCTGAAATTTCCAATATTATACGTCAATTTGTGTCATGTTAAACTGTTTTTGAATGACATTTGATTGCTTTTTTGGTGAAAAATCAAGGAATTTTTATTGATAGTGAATTTGTACCCCCATATGTACCAGGATGTGTAACCTTTTGTAGGTCATCCATATAATAATAATAATAATAACTCTATTTAATTAAGCGCAACAATTCCAACATATGAAGATCAAAGGCGCTGATACAATAAACAATCAGTCAAATATTAAAAGCACATTTAAATAAGTGCGTTTTCAGTCTGGATTTAAAAATGTCTACTGAAGGACTAGAACGAACAGACAGAGGTAATTCATTAAAAAGTTTAGGACCTAAATTTTCAAAAGCACGGTCTTTGTATAACACCTTGGACTTTTTACTACACATCTGACGAGTTTTAATAAGAAACTTCGATTCAGATCTTAAACTACGACTCGGTACATAAATTTCGATTAATTCACATAGATAATTTGGGGCAATATGTCATATTATTGTTTTCCAATTCTAAAAGTTATTTATTTACAGATCAGCAAAAGATCCTTGACATGAAGTTATATCTACAAAGGTGTTACAGAGTGCTGCCAACGGACTGTGTAAATATTGCACAAAAAACATCAATGAAATAAAATTTTTCATCACCACAGATTTTGTAGATTAAATACGTTTTTTTAATGTGAATAAAATACAACTTACATGCCAGCTCAAATGATTAAGCAAGTCTAACAACGTTGCGATTCAAAGCCATGACATTTTTCCTACAATTCATTGAACGTACCTGCAGAGGCTGTACCAAGCACGGGTTGACCCGATTTAGATGCACACACTTCCCATACCCCATCTCTATGTCCACGAAATGCTCTAATGATCTGACACATTGAACTTGATCCACTAGTGCCTGTCTTAAAACTTGACACGATCTAATGATGGCAAATCAAATGTCAGCGTGATTTCACCTCAGTCAATTAGCAAACGTGCTACGTGCTTATCAACACTGTCATGATGCTTAAGGTACAAACAACATTGGGGGCAACTACTTACTCAAAAAAGATTTTGTGCAAGTAATTTTTTTTTTTAAATAAATAAAACATTAGAAATTTTAAATTAGAAATAGTTCCAATTTATGAGAGTTGCAAAAAAATGCATGATAATTTTTTTTGGGTCTGACCTCCCATAACAATCCTATGATATTTGACCTTTGACCTCAAGATCTAACAGTGAGTTCAGATACAGAAAAGGTACAGGGAACTTATTATTAATAGCATGGGAGACAAAGCAGTCAGGGGAATAACATAATTTTTGAAATAATATGGTGTAATCTCTACATATCTACAGAATAATAAGACTCCAAAAAATACACTTTGTAGTATATTAATTGTTAAAAAACGACGTGGTTATCTACACATTTTTAAATTTTTCAACTTATTGAATAATAGTGAAAAAAAATGTTCTTTTTTTTAAAAACAGGTCATTTTGGGATGTTTCACCCAGTATGAAAAACTGCTTAATAATTAACATGCAAAAATTTGTTTTTTTTTTGTATTTCCACAGGAAATTAAGTTGAAGCATTATTTCATAAAAAATAATTAGTATTCTTCAGAATACCTTAATTTTTCATGAATACAATTTTTTTTTTTTTTCTAATTTTATTGGTTGGCCAGAAACATGAATGTTTTTCATGGGCCTAAAATTAATTTATTCACTTTCAGAGCAATATTAATCAAGAGTGCATGACAAAAAAAAAAGACACATTTAAACAAATGGCAATTAACTAGGAATGATCAAAAAAAGTATCTGAATAAAACACCATTCATCATTAAAGCGTTACATGATTACAACATATTTCCTATTAGTGACACATGAGTATACGTAAATGAAAGGGATGTGATGTCTACAAAACAAAGGCAATAAATGTAGCCCCGCCCCAATAAATGTAGCCCCGCCCCCTCCCCCGGCCTCCCAAGACCCAAATGTGATGCAAGTAACCCAAATCAATCAATCAATTCAGATGTAGAATACTTAATTATATATAAATTCTTAAAATTAGGGACAATTAATTGAATTTAATTTTCGTAATTGTACTTACTTTACTCGTTGACGCTTTATACGTAGTTTTTAGCTTATGAGACAGCTGACTCGTCCCTGCAGAAATAAAGAATATGACAAACCCAATAATGAACAACACTGAAGCTGAAAACGGAGAATATTTACCATATTTGCGTCAGAGTCTAGAAAGCTTTCTCAAACAACGGTAAGTGCAGTGTAATTTTATAAACCAATTAATCATGACTACGACTAGAACTATATAATCACGACTCTGGCATCCTGGCTATTTACTATGCAAAGTGCATTGCTTAATTACAGGATGCCGAATGTAACAATGTGGAAGTAACTAGGCATGAATACAAAGTTGGTAATGTTTCACATCTTTTTTAGGAAAGCATGATGAAGCATGACTTATAAACAAGTACCATAATTATTCTGTTAGAAGCACATATAAAACCAAAAACGGCCTTTATTGTAAGCTGAATTATCAAAATACAACCTATTTTAACTACTGACACTTCACTGTCTGTACTTCACATGCCCTACTATTAAATTAAATAAGTTACTAGTATATGATTGATTCAATATTTTTAGCAGAGACACTATTTTTTTTTTTAGACTACTGCATTTGCTTTCTTAATAGAACATATGCTTATGTAAATGACAGAGGCATGTTTGTTGCCATCTTGTTAATGCTACATTATTCAATAAATACATTTTTTTTAGTTCATGTGCACTTCTATTAAAGATGTACTTCTAAAAATAGCAAATATGGCATTGTCACTAGATTACATGATTATTAAAAAAGAACATTTTTTGTGCCAGGCGCGATTGAAGTCACTGCTGTCTCTCCTGACTTTTTTGATCTTTTATGCTAATTACAAGTGCATGTGTTGCAAACTAGTCTCCCATTATCTAAAACTGCATGTTTTGAAGGCAGGGCAGTCTGTACTTGAATTTATACTGCTGAGTGATCAGTTGGTTCTGGGACGGAAACCCAGAAGTTCCCTGATGTAAATTGCTAAAAATGCTAATTGATTTAATTAATATGCAGAGCTCGAATACGATTCCCATCCAAATATGCATCTGAACAATACAGTGAAAATAAAGAAACAGAAAATAACACCACAATTAGGATTTGTAATGTAATTCTCTATATTTAAAAAAATGGAAGATTATTTCAAGGAATAGGATGCTTGTATTTCAAACTACTGTAAAATACTTTATTTTCGCTTTGAATTAATTTTTGTTATTTTCGCTGAAGGAATGATTCAGTAAAAACAAAATCCAGCGCACACACCTATTTTCCATTCAACTTGTCAAAAATCAGTGAAAATAAATTCATACAAAACACCCAAAATGTCTTTTTAGTGAAAATTAATTCCAGCTAAAATAAAGTACTTTACAGTATATGATACAAAGCTGAGCAAAGCCCTCAGTCTGTAAGTAGAATTTTAGTGAAAACCAACTTGTTTTGAAATGGTGGACTGATAAATTTAGATTTTTCATTTAGTCAACTGGGTCAACATTTCTAATATTGTCAATACCTGTGAACCGTTCATTTTTGGGGCTTTCGTCATAAGAGATGATGGTGTTTACTGTTTGTTGGTACGTGACCGTAGTTTTTATGCTGTCGTATATGGAGTACTTTTTTTTTAGTATGATACAATTAAGACAGCGAGTCATAGTGACTGTCACAAAATATTGAATTCTATTAACTTGTCAAGACGCAAAGAATGAAATTGAAAAGCAGCATAAAATAAATGGTTTACAGACTTTTGTATTTCAGCAAATTTTAGCACAAAAATACTCTCACAATCTTGGTGAAAAAACCTAATGAAAATTCAACTGTTATTAAAATTACAGTATGGAAATTGACTGCTGTGAATTTGTTGTAAATTTCTGTTAACGACTGTACTGTTCAAATTGAGATTCATTGCTATATACCAGTATATGTATTAAGATAGAAGCCTACATATAAATGCAAATACCCAGAATTTATTCATTTTACAATAAATTGTACACTATGGCAATATAAGGATATTGACTTATAAACAGTTGGGATCACCAGGCTAATTTTCAAGTAAATGATTGCTGTATTTTAGTAGATAGTGGCCATTTTGTCAGTATTACAATGCTATTACTATATATTGTGAATAATCGGGTACTTTTTGCTGTTCAGAATTATTTTTTTAAATCTGGGTTTTAAAAAAAGTGTCAAAAAATGCATTTTTTTTCTTTAACATTGTGTTCTATGGAATTGTTCTAAAAATTGAGATTTTTGAAAAAATATTAGTACAAGTTTCTCAAAGTATGTCCCTGTAACACACAAAAGAATGCCATTTCATAGTGCCATGGTACAATAGCTTCATGACTTTTAATTACTGTGGAATACTTTATTTTCGCTGGAATTAATTTTCGCTGAAAAGGCTTTTTGGGCGTTTTGTATGGAATTTATTTTCACTGATTTTTTATGAGTTTAATGGGAAATATAGGAAAAAAAGTATATTTGCTGGATTTTATTTTCACAAAATCATCCCTTCAGCGAAAATAGCGAAAATAAATTCCAAGCGAAAATAAAGTATTCTACAGTAATAAACCATAAATAAATGTTTGATTGGGATTGGCCAGACGACGATTTGTGTTTGTCGTTATGGCGGGAATGACATTTTTCATGTAAACTAAGAACAAATAATTATTTTTTATATAGCTCAGCGTTATTCAACATTCTATTCCTATGCATAGTACGGGGCCTTAATGCTCAATAATGCCATACATTATCACGAATATTCTGTGGCAATGACATCATAAAACTCGCTGGTAATGACAATGCTATAATATAATACAAGTATTTATGTAAGATTACAAAATATTTATGTAAGATTACAAAATTTCGAAATATTTTGTTTTATGTACAATATTTTTTTTCCAATTTCTAAGAATAATGGAATTGCATATTCTATTCATTTTGTTGAGTACATTATGATTGAAACAATGAAACTGGCTGCCAATGGCTTGCTTATTTCTGAAGGTTTTGCTATCATTTTGTGTATGTGACATACCTCTATTTTCTTTCACTTTAACAGACATTTTTGCACCATCCAGCGAGTCCATTCCATCAGCTGTTCCTTTCTCCTGTATCACTTCCAATTTTTCCGTAAGTGTTTCAACTTTGTCTTGCACTAGAGATGAAATAAATGACAATTTTCAATGGCCAATTATTCGGGTTGATACTGACAATGTGCTGCATTATGGGTAATTTTTGCTGTATACGTTCTGTAAAATTTACACTGGGAATTATTTTGCTCGAGGGATGATTCAGTGAAAACAAAATCCAGCAAATATACATGTACCTTTTTTCCTATATTTTACATACAACTTATCAAAACCCAGTGAAAATAAATTGCAAACAAAATACCCAAAATCCCTTTCAGCAAAAATTAATTCCAGCTAAAATAACATACTTTTACAGTACCTATAATACCAAGCTAATCAGATTGGTGTACTACAAAATGACGTTAACTTGTGCATAGCCCATACATTTGGTACGATAAAGGTCACTTTGGTTCAGGTTTACACGAATTGAAAAATATGAAATGATTGGAAAAAAATGCAGTTATCATTTTTTCAGACCTAGAGAGTGAGAAATAGCTCTCCTAAAAGAACAAGTTATGAGAGTGATTTCAAAGTGTTGAGAAATAAGTTGGTATGCGTAAAATTTGAAAAAAAACAAAAAAAACAATTGAGGCAAGTTTTTTTTGGAGGTCCTCTGGGCAAAATTAAGCACAAGACAAATGCTCGCCTTAAAAGGAAAGGTCCGTGCTGCCCAATGATGTCCCAATCACCAATACTTTCACTCCCCAAGAGACAAATTTTCGAGAATTGTACAATTGCAAAATTCCTATCCGCGAAAATTAAACGGTTCACAGTAACCACAGGCTTCATGCAGTAAGTGTTCAAACTTTATGTAAACAAATTGTGTATTTTATATGTGTTGTATTCTTCATATGAAACCAATACCAATATTGTGAGTCAGAAACAACAATTGTTGTCACCATCAGAACTAAACACATTACAGGAATACTCACAAACAGCGTTCTCTGCACACACTGATTCAAATTCCCTTTCAATCTGAGCAAAGAGTTCCCACAACCTTGATCTGAGCGCCGGTGGTAACGAGCTATCTATCGTTCCCTCAGATAGTCGTTTAAGGTCAAAATCCCCATCTTGCGAACTGAGCGTACGGCGAACACTGATCCGCTGTTGCTTCGTCTTCTTCTGCCTAAGTTGTACTCCTTCTATGGGCATCATGGAAGCTGAAAGACATTACATTGTAAACAAGTTATTGACATGACATTGTAAACAAGTTATTAACATGACAATGTAAACAAGTTATTGACATGACAATGTAAACAAGTTATTGACATGACAATGTAAACAAGTTATTGACATGACAATGTAAACAAGTTATTGACATGACATTGCAAACAAGTTATTGACATGACGTTGTAAATAAGTTATTGACATAACGTTGTAAACAAGTTATTGACATGACATTGTAAACAAGTTACTAACATGACAATGTAAACAAGTTATTGACATGACAATGTAAACAAGTTATTTCAACCCAAAACTGATCAGGTTTTTAGTATTGTTCCTTGGCACCTCATATACCAATTTTATTGAAATGCAATAATTGGTTTTTGAGAAAAATTGGGTAATTAGTATGCAAATTAAGTAATTATTATGCATAGATTTCAACCCAATACTAACTAGGTTTGTGTATTGTTCCAGGGCACATATGTACCAAGTTTCATTATTATAAAATCAGGGTTGTTTTTTTCTAAAAGAACACCTTTGTTACCATTACACTATTTGCTATAACTGATCATAATCAACTTACTGTTCCAGGTTCGGTAAGCCCAGGGTATGAGGGCTCTGCAATTGTGTTCCCCTGTCAGGAATATATGATTAATTCTAAAAACAGTAATAAGGTCTGTGCAATGTCGAAAATTATTTATGTGCCAAGTTTCATTAAAATGTGATTAGAACTTAGGATTATCAGTGTAAAAGCTGGAAATTGACTAATTATGCAAAATCAGGTAATTAATTAATATACACAGATTTGACACCAAAGCCAATCAGGTCTATGCATAGTCTTGGAGCATCTATGTACAAAGTTTCATTGAAATGTAATGATTAGTAATTGAAATAATAGCAGCCAAAGCCAAAAACTGACTATTTGTGCAAATTAGTTGATTAATATGCATGGCATTTTATCCAAAACTAATCAGGTCTGCACATTGTCCCAGAGCATCTATATACCAAGTTTCGTCAAAATCCATTAAGCAGTTTTTAGATATCAGTGGAACAATCATGGAACAGCTAAAAATTAGTGAATTATCATGCAAACGGGGTAATTAATATGCATCAAAATCCAATAATTGGTTCTTTAAATATCAGTGCAACAACACACGCATACATACAGTGTATACATGTACCGGTACATGCACTAACTGCAAAGAATCCTATCATGTGCTTTGCACAAAAGAGTTGACAAAAGAACATGCATCAAGTTCCCATTACATTCCATGTCAGGGTTCATTTCCAGATATATTGTAGAATAAAAGAAAAAAGTGCAGAATAATTTGAGAGAGAAAGTCTGGTGGTGAAAAGTTTAAGAGAGTTCTAGCTGAATTAAAATTTGGTATGCCAATCAATAATTTCTTATTGGAATAACTGCCATGAAAAAAATCCTCCCTCTCAAAAATTTAACAATGGTACAATCCCAAATGGTACAACTTACGTTGTACTCAAGTCAGAAAATTGAAAAATTGGGTCGGTCGGTTGGATTTTTTTTTTTTTTTAAACTCGTGAAAATAGCCGAGGTATATGGGAAAAAAAATGTGACCCGGTATTTCATATTTTTCGGTCGGTCGCTGAGGACAACAAAACATTTTTTTTTTTTTGGCCTGACTCTACAACATTCACTTGAGCATTTCAAGGATAGTTAGAAAAGAAGCAAATATGTTGGATATCAGAGCTCAGATACCATGGATATGATTTTCTGCAAATAATGTGATATTGGTATTATCATAAGGAGTTCCCCATTTGATTGAAAACTGGGGTAAACAGAAAAATTTTGTTAAAAAAAATTGCAGGTGAAGAGGAAAATATTTAAAAATTTGCAGATGACTGAGAAATGAATAATTTAAATACAAATAAATATCAATGAATACATTGCTTTGAGAAGTATTTGATAATGCTCATTATCATGATATATTGTGTAATGTTAATTAACTTACTTACAAAATTAGTGAATTTTGTAAAAACACAAAATAACACAACACCATTACTGTGTCTGAAAGTATTTTACAAATGGTCTATTTTCACATAGCAAAATCCAACTTTCTGAAGTTTAGAAGAGACACAGATTAGTAATTTATCAATGCGGATGTCCATCACGACAACTACATTACAACTTCCAATAGCATGTTATTCACACTCGTTTTGGTAGAGGCATGGTAAAGGGGACCCTGTGAAAGTGGGTAGAACCCTATGAAACATCACACACTAAAGTATGTCAGCCCCGCCCCCTCGATTAATAATAGATGGCGGTGGTAGTAGTAGTACCTGCGATTCAATCCTCGGCATATTCACCTCAGTGTTTGTATCGGACTACGACATATAGTGTTGATTTCGTTTGTTTCGATGTCAAATAATTCTTCTTCGAATGGGGTAATTTATCTGAATAATCAAGATGTGAATAATTTCATGGATGTACTTTCATGATAATTTATTTATATTGAATTGGATTGCAGTTCAAATCGTTCAGATAAATGAAAGAATAAGAGGTGCATCGCAAATATCAACTCGCAGTGTGTTTCAAGCGTGGTTTGACTTTAATACCGGAGGGTCAAACGTGTTCTTGAAATCAGTGCGACGCGGACGGTGGCTACTAAAGCCATCGTCATCGTGAGCTCCGACTGTCCTGTCGAATTACCGCTATCATGCAATTCCCATTAATAAATAACAAAAATCAGACGACTTACTATACGGTTACCCCTATAGTAGCAGACGTCATCTAAGTAAACACCAGATTAATGATCAATTATTACTCCTATCTCTGTAAATACGGACTTTGATACCGCCGAGAAAGATTTCATGTTTTGAAAGCAGCCATCTTGGACTTGATTTGCAATGAATGCTGGGATGTTATTTAAAATGTGGAGGTCACTATGCAAATTTTAAAACCACGTAACCCGGGTGATGGGTCCTGATAATCGTTCTGACAGCTTGATTGACTATTGACCAATCAGCGAGTCGATTTCTTCCAATCACTTATGCTGTTAACCAATCAGATACATGTTTCTTACCAGGCTTAAATCACGTGCTCCTCTATTTCAGAGAATATGGCGTTCAGGTTGTCGTTCTGGAAGTAGTGGTTTTCGTTAAAATTGCACTCTAACGGATAAAAAAAATGAGAAAAAACCCAAGCAGCACTACTCGCGAATCCTCTTTTAGGTATAGATAAATTTTCTTGAAGAATCGCGGTCAAATAAAAATGTTATTGGGGTGTCTTTGGAACGGGTTGTTGTTGGAGTGTCACTCAATCGTAGGCCGTCTAGGCGTCGTTTTATTGGTTATATGTGATTCACGGTAAATACGCCGTGTCATTGCTCAATTCGGCCAAAAGTAGGTTTCCACATTAAACCTCTTGCTATTGTTTTGGGGTGAAATATCACATCTCGATGTTGGAATGTAGAAATAATGTCGGTAAAAAGTGTAAGTACGATCAAACATGGGGGTATTGTTGTTGTTTTTGCATGGTGAATTTCCATTTGCAGAGCACAGCTACATTTCCAGGGGGCGTCGTTTTACAATATTTAGCCTCGGCCAAAGAGTGAAAAATACTCTTTCTTATCGTTGGAATTTGTTGATATGGACTTGGATGGAAATCGAGTATTTTTTTAATGGTTTTGGTGAATTTTGAAAGTTAAAGGTAAATGTATCCAAGATGGGAGTCCGGGTATGGGTTTTTCGCTTGCACTACTTGGTCTCGTTCTATTGTTCGGTTCGCTGTGATGTGACGGCGGGGAGGGAAATTATATGCATAAACCTCTCACACAAACACGGCAGCCATTTTGAAACTCCAAATTTCCACGGATTTTCTGTTAACTTCCTAGCCGTTAACCGCAGAATATTGGGATAAATATTACGGTAGGTACTGAACCAGATACTCATCTGTCACGTAAATGTAGCGATGTGTCTTCCCGATCGTTACATCTCCCGCCAAACCGGTCGAAAGAGGACGTGGTGTTAGGAAGAAATACACGGAAAATTTTGGAAAATTCCTATTCGATTCATTTGTAGCTGCGTCATCGAAAGAAACTGACAATATTTTTCGCTGGTTTTTAACTATTTTAACAATTTCTTGTACTTATGTTACCGTTGATTGTCTTGAAACATAATTTGTATCAAATTATGGAGCCGATTACGAGCAAACGTGCGGCGTAGACCCACGACACTGCCCACGACAAATCGGCGGTTGAAATATTAGGGTTGACCGACTTAAAATCCACAAAATTAATATGCTTCCAAACAAAATATTTTAAATCGCGTGCTACATTTATACGGCAAAATAATTTTATTTTATTAAAATACTGAAATATTCGCCAGTGTGTTGAATTATTACGTAAACATGGGTTCGTTGACCCCGCATCAGATTTCAATATTTTTGGTAACAAATTGAATAATATTCGGCAATTTTATTATTTGATTATTTATTGCTATTGTGAAAAATTTCACAAATTTTCTGCACATATTAATTTTAAAACCATTTCCATTATTTTAAAATAACATAGAGATTATTTGTAAATATTGGATTTCAATAATACAGGTACATTCACAAATAAATACAATAAATAATGTTAATGCTATACTAATTATTAGCCGAAAAACAGTATGAACTATTCGTGATTAAAATTTGTGAGATCTCCACTGAAATATGTTAGGGTGAAAAAGAGGAAGCATGATTATATTAAATATGGTTGACGTTAAGTATTGATTTTTATGTCCTGGAGATTTCAAATTTGAAATATTTTGTTAATGTAGCATATGTGCACTTTAACAGTTTTAAATTAGGTGTAGTAATCCAGAATGAACTCAATGTTTAGTTCCTTCAGAGTCTTTAGAATTTGTCCCAATTTTTTCTGCGTGTGTAAACAATACTACGTTTTGTCAGTCATTTTTATAACACATTATTATTGATTTTATAATGCAAATAGAGAAATATCAGAATAACAAATCAGATACGTACATTTTTTAGCAGTTTTTAATATGCTGGGAAAAGATCCAATGTGATAAGATTTTGTTTTAGCATACATATTTCAATGTATGTTTCTCATCATAGCTCCAGAAGAGATTGGTTATTTTGTAATTTATAATTGATTACGTTATTATATAGGGATATTATATGAGGAAACAGTAACTATAAAATTAAATTATCAAAATTAATCATTTTAAGTATTACTTGTAATTTCATCTGATCCTGAAATCTTATAAATCTGTGCTAGGGTTAGGTATTTTGATATTTCTATTATGAAAAATAAAAAACAACGTGATCAAATAAAAAAAAAAATGGGGAAATATATCATATTGTGATTTTGGATTTTTATCCTTTAGGTCAAAAACTGAGAGAATATATCCCTCACTGTGATTTTAGATTTCTATCCTTTTTCTCAAATAATTAGGTTGATTTATTAAATTTAGTTATTTTTATATCATTAGCTCGGGGACATGTACTTCAAACATGTCTATACATGTCTCTTTGTTCTGGAATGAATTCTAAGTATTGCCTTGTAGCAAGAATGTACTTGTTTTCCAAATCTCAGAATCTGTTCTGTATGACCTTGAACAGTAGTACATGGTGACCTTGCTAGATTGGAAAAGGATTCCCTAGCAACTTTCTTTTTTAGCCAGGTTTTATTTATGGCGAAAGGTACATTTTCAAGTGTTTTGTTGAATTTAAAGATTTGGAATATTTTACATATTATAAAAGAGACTTATATTTCACTTTCTGACATTTTTTGCATCTTGATTTGTGCAGAGAACTATATGCTAAAAATATAAATTGTCCATTGTAGATCTTAAATACAGTACATCTAAATTATGCAAATTAGACATTGTTCTAATCTTCACTAATTAATTATATCAGAGAATTCCCACGACCTTCCAAATCGAAAACAAACAATCTTGTTTAATATCTTTTATTTCAGGGCGTTTAAAAATATATTTCAATGCTTTAAGACATTTGTCATTATTTTGAATGCAAAGATCAGACAGTAGGTCATTACTCTGGTCAAACCCTTATCTAGATGGACAGTATGTCACTAATCTGGTCACACCCTTGTCTAGGGATCTTGTTTCTCATAGCTGAAGCAGACAAGTAGTGGCTTGTTTATTCAACGTGCAATAACTCATGTATCCAACGTAGTATGTGCATCATATAATTAACGCGTAGGTTGCCTGCTAAGGCTATAACATTTTTTACGTTCATTTCGACTATTCATGGAGGCTTTCACGGTGAACGTGTTAAACTATGTACTAAGTTGTAGTGGTTTTAATTATGTAACTATTTAAGAACAAGGTTAAGAAAATGACTATCGGTAAGCATGTCTGTCATTCAGTTTCATTGACTGAAGTACTAAAAACATGTTTATGTTCATGTGTATGACAATAATAATTATATTGACTTGTAATAATAATTATATTTTGTAACAACAAAATTGGGAAAAAAGAAATTCTGTGTTTTAGATGTATAAACGTAGGACAAAATTGCCGCTAATTTTATGTTCTAGAACTTAGAAGCTTGTCAGTTACATTGTTACATTGAGTAACATGCCTGTTACTTTATTACTGTAACATACTTTATTTTAGTAAAGTTGGAATTAATTTTCGCTGAAAAGAATCTTCGGGTGTTTTGTATGGAATATATTTTCACTGATTTTTGACAAGTTGAATGTAAAATATAGAAAAAAAGGTTTATTCGCTGGATATTATTTTCACTGAACCATGATTCCTTCAGTGAACATAACGAAAATTAATTCCAAGAGAAAATAAAGTATTTTACAGTATCCATATATCATTCTGTGAGATAGTAAAAAGGACTTCAACCCTTATCCTGCCACCTCCACATACTTGTACATTGATTTAACCTTTTATGGGTTAATTTTTTGAAAGAAAATAATTTCATTTGGCATCTTTAAGATGGAGACTCGCAATGACCTTCAAAATATTTCATTCTCATGAAAGCACTCCAATTATCGCATCACGAAAATTAATAGCGACAAAATCAAATCAGTTTTAACAGTATGTATTAAAGTCTAAATGATAATCACAGGATCTTGCTTGATAAGTTAAAATGCATGGAGATAATTGGGTAATTATGCGACACTGCTTGTTATTTTTTATGTTCGAACACTTTTATGAAGTGTACTCCGTACATGCATCCATCAGAATACTAATTGACTTGCTTTAAAACGTAATGATTAATCTTGCTCGTGGTAGGTGGCTTGTATTCTCTGTTGCAATGTCTTATTCAAAACACTGACGTACATCTCATAGTAATACACTGTAGAAGTAGAAATATTCAGATTTTTATTTTAGCGGTTTTATGATGCAGTTAAATTTGAATATTCACAGGTTTTTATTTTACCGCATTTAGCTATCAGTGAAATAACCAAAAATCAAACCCAGCAAAAAAATCCAGCTCTACAAATGTATAAAGTATTTTTCACTGTAGGTGCTTGTAAAATTTGTCATATCCTCCAAGTACCTGAATAATCGAGTCATAATTAAATTTAATATTCTACTTGAGGAAATCCGAGCTTCATATAAACAGAAAAAATCAAAGTCTAAATTCTGCTTCTTGAACTCAAAATACTAGGGGTTCTAGAGGTTCTATATGTTTGACAGCAATAAATGCTGCTTTTGCTATACTAAGAAAGTGCACATACAGAAACCAAATTATTAGTACTGGCTATATATATATATGTATATTATTACTGTTTATATATATATATACAAGTACATAAATTACGAATAAAGCTATACAGTACAATATACTGTAGAATACTTTATTTTCGCTTGAAATTAATTTTCGCTATTTTCGCTGAAGGGATGATTC